AAGGACTCTGATTGGCCCTACTTAGGTCACGTGCTTGCCTCCTGCACCAATCACTGTCACCAGAGGGATCAGATGCTGTGATTGGTCAGACCTGGGTCATGGGACCACTTCTGCCACCAGGGTGGGCAGAATCTGTTTCCAGAAGAAGGGCACTGGGAAAGCTTTCTAGGCGGATACAATTCATCAGTCCTCTCTAGGAGGTAAATGTGTGCTGGAAAGATTAAAGCAACAAGCATGAAGGATGAGAATAATTATTCTCAGAATAAAGGGACAAGGTTGTCTATATCTTGCACATGGAGTTAATTCATTTAACAAGCCATCTTTTCACAGTGTAAAATTGATCTTGTAGCTCCAAGCTGAAAACCAATAACATCTGTGCATCTCTTCAACTTCACTTTCAGTGACATCAGGTTGGTAGCTTGAAATCAGCCCCAATGAAAATATTTACAGACACTAGTAAATGCTCCAAGCCAGGGTTTAAATTCCTATTGTTTTGTTGATTCTCTAAAAAGTGATGTGAAAAATGTTAATAAAGCAGATTAAACTTAAAGATATGCTGTGTTCATAGTCATTCTATTGTCGAAGCACAATCGAGGAACTATCCTTCCAGTATTTGAAAACCACGATTCAATTTGGAAAGAAGTTGCCCACGTCACTGACAGACAAGTGAAGTCCAAACCATATGCCTTTGTTGCTTTATTTTGTCTTATTAATGTAAACAAAAATATTCACCAAGATTCATGTCAGAACCACACATGTTAAATGTTAAACATGTACCAGCACACCACTGAGTCATTCTAGTGCCTTCCAAATTAAAAATCAAGAGCTATGGCTATAGCGAAATTTTCAAATTATTGCTGGACATGGAAAAGCATTTCAGGAAAGGTGGTTTGTCACTTCAAATTAGTGGGTCATTCAGATGGTCCGTGAGGATACTGGGACAGTGTATCTGAAATTGGGGCTGATCCAGAAAATTCTCAGAATCACCATTCTTAGAATAATTGTTTGACAGCATCACCTTGTTGATAGAAGGATAAGTAGATTCCAGCACTGCCACTATGATGCATAAACGTAGGCAACTCTGTGAGTCCCAGAGTCCCCCTCCACTATAAAATTGGGATAAGATAGTTCCATTGACTACATCCCAGATAGGTAAGGTGATCAGGTGTGCCATGAATGAGTTGGGACTCATTTGAATGTAAGTGATAAACATCTAATGTAAGCTAGCTTAGTGGAGAAAGGGGAGATTCATTGGTTCTCAACAGACACTGGGGCATGTTAGAAGGAAAAGCTCTCATTTCTCCCTCTTTCTTCATCTTGTGATGGAGGCTTCACTCTCCACACACACCTTCTACTTTCTCCAAGTGGCTGGGACTGGCTGGACAAAATTAAGTGCGGGGAGAAACTTCCTCCAACCAGGTCCATAGACCAATCCCATGGAAGGACTCTGATTGGCCCTACTTAGGTCACGTGCTTGCCTCCTGCACCAATCACTGTCACCAGAGGGATCAGATGCTGTGATTGGTCAGACCTGGGTCATGGGACCACTTCTGCCACCAGGGTGGGCAGAATCTGTTTCCAGAAGAAGGGCACTGGGAAAGCTTTCTAGGCGGATACAATTCATCAGTCCTCTCTAGGAGGTAAATGTGTGCTGGAAAGATTAAAGCAACAAGCATGAAGGATGAGAATAATTATTCTCAGAATAAAGGGACAAGGTTGTCTATATCTTGCACATGGAGTTAATTCATTTAACAAGCCATCTTTTCACAGTGTAAAATTGATCTTGTAGCTCCAAGCTGAAAACCTTGCAAGGACCTCATGATCCGAGTCGTTGCCCACATTTTGGGGCTCATTTTGGGCCCCTCCTCATCTCTATCTGTGCCCCAGCCCCACTGGGCTTCTGTTTCACTGTGTGTCTCTCCCCTCCCTTCCTCCCTCAAGATCTTTTGCATGTATTTCCTCTGCCTAGAATGTTCCTCCCCTAATTCCTTAATCCCAATCCATCTTTCTAATCTATTTTCCCCATAAGTGCCATAGACTATAGAGACTTATTTGTCTTGCTCCTGGGAACATCCCATGGCTGAGCACAGCATAAGGCACACAGCAGACAGCCAACACATACTTCTGAAATGTATAAAGAAATATTTATCATTCCAAGAGGAAAGGAATCACAAGTTCCCAGCCTTTACACACAGATTCATTCTTCATTTCATTCTGGCAATACTACATCATGTAACAGTTAAACAAGAAAGTCTTCTTGCCTTCAAGGAGATCCTGGTTTGATGGGAGGCTATGGCAGAGAGTCGCACACAGAACTGGCACAAAGTGAGTATGGGGCCCGGAGATGCCCAGGGAGCAGAGGTCACGATTCAGAAAGATGGCAAGCACTTCCTGGAGAAGGTGCAGCCCAGGATAAGTGACAGATGGATAGAAATCAGGGGAGTGAAGAAGGCAGTGTTCAGGGGGATGGTACTGGGGTGGGAAGGAGATCATTGCAGGCAGAGGGAAGAGTAATGCAAAGACCTGGGGGCATAGTCGTCAAAAAGGGACAGAGAGCGTACATATTGTTGGGGCCGGAGGGAATATTTGTGAGGATTCAGGAGGCTGATTTTGGAGAGAATGAGGCCCAAGGCCAACCCAGAATGGCTTTGAAGCCATCCTAAGGAGACGGTACTTGACCCACATGGGGCCGTGAGACCCCACTGAAATCTCTTAAACATCAGCATGGACACAGCTACAAGGTGTATCACAAAGAAACCTTCTCCTGGCCCATCCCCTAGGGGAAACAAGCTAAGACTAATGTCAATTTAAGGGCTTCAATTTAGACAAATTCATGACTCCATGGGAGGGACTGGTGGGCAGATCTGACCATGCCCCCCCCACCCTTTTAAGGTTGAGGTTATTAATATAATCTCTGATTTTTAGAATCCTCACATTCCAGAAGCATAGATGCAGAAATAAGAGAAACTCTGGCTCTTAGACCCAGGGGAAATGGAGGCATGGCACCTCGGTCTTGCAGAGAACAGGAGGATACCGGGTGGAGCCCTATATCCACAGTATCGCAGAGACCTGGAGTCACAGAATGGCAAACCAATAACATTCCTCTTCCTGAGTGGTGCCAGTGGTAAGGAACCGGCCTGCCAAAGCAGAAGACGTAAGAGTCATGGGCTCGATCCCTGGGCTGGGGAGACCCCCTGGAGGAGGGCACATCAGCCCACCCCAGTATTCTTGCCTGGAGAATGCCATGGACAGAGGAGCCTGGTGGGCTACAGTCCATGGGGTCGCCAAGAGTCAGCCGTGACTGAAGCGACTGAGCATACACATCGCACATCACTCTTCGCCGGCACAGGGGACTCGGTGGGGTTAGGTCGCCCGAGCCCTGTGAAATGAGACAGGAAGCCTCTCGGGAAGGTGGCCTTGGCCTCCCTAAACCTCCTTCATCCTGGGTCCCACTGGGGCATCTGGTCACCCTCCCAAGGGCTTCCTCCTAGGAGACCCCCACCCGACACCCTCTCTGTTGTATTCTTGTGGCTGCTCCCCGCCCCCCACCCTTCTGACCTCTGACTCACTCCTTCCTGCCCGGAGCCTGAATATTTTCTTAGCTAGCATCAGTCCTTAAAGATAAATGCTGTTTTATTTCTCCCCCCACCTCCCCTGTCGCCCCTCCTCCCAAGGTGCCAGAGTTCAACTCAATTTTCTCAGATTAAATAAAATTTCAAAGTGTCAGTCTCCAGCAAACGACGAGTTGGAAGGTGGTTGATTTTCCTAACCCGATCGCCAGTCCAATTACAATTTTTAATCTATATGTAGATAATGGTGAACAAAACCCCATAGAAATGTCAAGAGTGAGGAGGTTATTAGCTTAGTTTTAATTACTGTCCATCATTCTTAGCAACTGGAGAGACCCAGCAAATTAGGGGAAGGCGGCATTCCTCCAGAAGAGTTCAGCCGGGCCTCTGGGCTACGAGTCCACGAAAGCACCGCCAGGGAGACAGTTCAGGGTGCAGGCAGTGCTCACCCTCCCATCCAGCCCTGCCAAGGGTTCCTGGACAGAGAAGCCTGCGGACCTGAACTTGGGCGGAATCAGTCACACCAGCTGATTCCATGTGACTGCGGACCTCCCTTCTGCAGCATCCCTCTGGGCGGCTGGCCTCTCTCCACTCCTCCACCCACTCTGTCCAAAACATCCCTCGAGGTTCTTCTTTTGTCTTGACAAGAAGAGTAATTCTTGCTGACTGTAGGAAGATGTTTGGGAAAGATGAAATGGAGGAAAGAAGAAAAACCTTACCCTAATCTTACCACCTAAAACAACCGTTAATATTTGAGGTTATTCCCAGTCTTGTGAATATGTGTGTGTTTACATATATTCACAGATATGCATGTGCACACATGTATAAATAAGATAAAATGTAAAAATTAATACAAATATGCCAATATAATAAAATAAATATTTAATATTAAATTTATGCAAAATGTATAAATACAATATATTAATTTAAATATGTATATATTATTATAGATATAATTAAATTACAGTATATAGAGTTAGTGTTATATACATACACACAAATTGGATTATACTGCATATGGCTTTTTCTGTCTTTGTCATAAACAGTTTCTCATATCGTGAATGTTATTTACAAACATCATTTTAGTAGCTGCAGAAAAGTCTATAGCCTGGATATATATTTCTCTAACCCACCCTCGAGGCTTCCCCGGTGGCTCAGTGGTAAAGAATCCGTCTGCAATGAGGAAGACTCAGAGGACAAGGGCCTGATCCCTGGGTTTGGAGGATCCCCTGAAGGAAGAAATGGCAACCCACTTCAGTATTCTTGGCCACAAAGAGTAGGCTGCAACTGAGCATACATGCGATCCACCCTTTATTTTGGCATGTGCAGAGCCAGTGCGTGTGTTTTTAACATTTATTTTATTTATTCATTTGGCCACATTGGGTCTTAGTTGTGGCATGGGAACTTCTAGTTCTGGCACGTGGGATCTAGTTCCCTGACCGGGAATTGAACACGGGCCCTCTGTATTGGGAGTACAGAGTCTTAGCCACTGGACCACAAGGGAAGCCCTCAAAGCATATTTTAATAGAGATGTAACAATACTTTGTGTTTACTATTGCACCCTGATCTTTTCACTTACTAAACAGTTTTTTTGTGTGTGTTATTATAAATTCTGTGACTATCATTTTAATAAATCACTCAGTCTCTAACAAGTATTTTTGAGAGTCTCATCTGTGCCAAGCACTGTGCTAAGTGGTGGAGATATAAAAATTAGAATCCAATAAACATTAAAGTCTTCTAGGGTCCTGATCTGATAAACCACATCTTTCATCAAATTGAATATATATGTATATACACTACTATGTATTAATTATATGCTAATCGAATTAGTCCTGCTGTTATTGGACATTTGGGTGGATTAATGTTTCTCACAATTGTACAGAACAGTGCCTTGAACGTTTTTGTATATAAACTATTATCGCTATATTGAATTTTTTCCTTCTTATATATGCCCCAGAATGCAATGAATGGGTCTAAGGGTATTAATATTTTTTAAATTCTTAATGAGAAATCTGGTTTCTACTTAAATGAAGTTTTAGGAGTGAAACTGATTTGTGACCAGGAGCAAATACCAAGAAAAAGAAAGAAAGTAAGTCACACAAAATTAGACCCCCAGGGGGCTCTATTTTAATTAATTAGAAACAGTGCTATTTTTAATATCTCAAAGGCTGTCAGAAGGCTGTAATGAAAGAATAACAATGTCTTATTCATGGAGAGAGACAGTGAGTTTTTAAAAGTGCTCACCCTCATCCTTTTAGTTGTGGAACAGCTTCAGAAACTATAAAATAGTGTTTTTCCATACAGTAGGATAAGCACAATGAGCTGTTGACCAAGTGATTTTAGGTGGCAGAGACATGAGCCTATTATTAATTTTTCATCCTTTTATGTTTATGTTTTCATGTGTTAGGGGAAAAAAATATCAGTAGAATATCAAACCCACACTCTCGGAAGATTAGTTTAAAATAGACTAGGGGAGGAATAAGAGATGGGTTAAACTGCAATTTGAAGAAAGACATGCATGGAAGCACATAGGTTGCATGAATATGACGACCATCGGGTGCCTGGGAGGGTCACGGGAGATGCTGCGTGTATCAGCGTGACCTAGGACGACGATGACAAGAGACTGTCAACAAGGCCAAGTTGATGGGACCAGAAAGTCCCAGATCTCGGGGAACTTGCTATTAATATTCATCGAGCATCCCCATGTGGCAAAGCTGTGATGGCCAAATTTGGGGCTTTTCTTCACTGGAAAGACTAAAAATAATATTCCAGAACTCCTTGGCAGCACATTAAACTGGCCTGGGGGCGGGGTGCCCTTCTAAGCCACCAGTGGCCAATGGCTGGACCCCTCCCCTAGAGGTTCAGCATCCGTACCTCTGGGCAGAGTGTGGGCATCGGTATATATAAACCTTCCCCATGGGTCTGACAAGCAACCAAGGATGAACACTCCTGGTCAGATGGCCTTCCTTCTGGGTGTTCATACACGGGGGCTGGCCATACCCACCTCGTGATCTCGCCCCTCTTTGGCATTCTAGAATTTCCCCCAGCCCTCTGCTCACAGGATAATGAGGCTAACAGCCAATCAAGCCTTAACAAGGATTGATGCATTTATTAAGTCGCTATTAGGTGCCAGGTGCTTCCCACTCCGGAGCCCAGGAGACTCAAGGGCAAGCAGGATACGGCCAGGGAAATGCTGGGGATGCAAGAGGAGAGAGAAGGAAGAGAGACTTCAGGCCTTGAGGGTGGACTCGAGGTCCAAGCCGCAGGGGAATCTCAGCGGCAGATCAAATAAAAGACCCTGAAAAGACTCTGATGCTGGGAAAGATTGAAGGTGGGAGAAGAGGATGACAGATGATGAGATAGTTGGATGGCATCACTGACTCAATGGACAAGAGTTTGAGCAAGCTCCGGGAGTTGCTGATGGACAGGGAGGTCTGGCTTGCTGCAGTCCATGGGGTCCCAAAGAGTTGGACATGACTGAGTGACTGATCTGATCTGATTGAATGAGTCTGGGCCAGCTCAAGTCTAGATCATACGCCTGGGTGGGAGTACCATCAGGGCATGGACTATGAGGTTCTGGGTGGAGGGTGTGCTGGAAGATGGGTGGGGCACGTGGCTGGCATTTTGATCAGTGAGGGACAATAACCGGGAAATGCCAGGGCAGGCAGGAGTGAGCCATCCTTGGTTGTGGGCATAGTGATTGAACGTGATGCAATGATGTGTCTCCTCCTTTTCCCAGGATGCCTTTCCACATCCAACCCTCCAAAGGACATGAGTCACACACAGCGTCATGGGATGAGTTGTCCTAGTCTCTTCCTGCGCCCCCTGCCCCTCACACTGGACAAATGGATGGACTTGTGGGTGGCTCACCTTATTAATTCAAACATAGGTCAGCCGAGATCACCTCCTGTTGCCATCTATGAGCCGGCCCAGACAGTCCAAAATTCCTTAACTCCAACATCATGCCCCAGAGGGGGAAAGAAAATGAAAAATCAACAACCACCACCACTTCCCAGGCCCTGAACCATCAGCCACTTTTCAAAGAAAGTCAAGACTCTGTCACTTTTTTTCTGCTCTCCCAAAATTAAAATGTGCCTCCAGTATAACTTGTTATCAAAAATAGAAGCATTTTATCTATCTTTATTGCAGAACAGAGATTACATGGAGACATTCAATTTGGAGTCAATTTAAATTTCAATTGTCTATGAAATCTAAATCAATAGGGTATAGTTCAATGACGCTTTAATAAAACAGGACATAACAGAGAAATCATTAGGAATTACATATGATAAGAGATTGGAGCCAAGCCTCCGTAATGGCGGAAGGGACATTAGAAAATTACCCCCAAGCATTCACAAGTAAACCAACTGCTTCCTTTCCCCATGAGACGCCTGAGAAAGCTTCATTTCGCCGTGAGCCCTGAGAATCCATCTTTGTCAGCCCAGTGATTGGGGGACAATTTACAGTGAGTGACAAAGGCAGCGGGTTTGTCTCACATGGAAGGTGCCCGTCACGTGTCTCCATCCAGACACTACAAACACGTGTTATGCCTTCTCCGAATTCTTGACCTTCCTCCCCTCACCACTGGCCTCCTCTCCTCGAGATGTGTCCCCCAGGGGCCCCCCAGGAGGGTCCACCTTGGAGTAGGAGGCTCAGAGGCAGGGAGAGGGTACAGCTGGATACAGTGGATCAAAGCCAGGCTTTGGAGAAAGACAATCCAGGAAGAAACCCAGCTCCTCTCCTGGGTCTGGAGCAAGTGGTTTCACCCTCGTGAGCCTCCCCTTCCTCATCTTAAAAACAGAGATATGACTCTGCGCCTCATAGGTGGAAGCTTCATTCATTCAATACACATTTGTTGAAGAAAGAGACTCACAGACTTAGAGAACAAACATAAGGTTGTCGGGGGGAAGGAACAGTTACGGAGTTTGGGACAGACAGGTACACACCGCCGTCTTTAAAATGGATAGCCGACCAGGGACTGTGCAGCGCAAGGAACTCTGCTCCATGTCATGTGGCAGCCTGGAGGGAAGGGGGGCGTTGGGGAGAGGACGGACCCAGGTATATGTTTGGCTGAGTTCCTTCAATGCTCCCCTGAAACCATCACAACACTGTTAATCAGCCACGCGTGTGTGCTAAGCCACTTCAGTCGTGTCTGACTCTTTACGACCCTGTGGACTGTAGCTCGCCAGGACCCTCTGTCCACGGGATTCTCCAGGCAAGAACAGTGGAGTGGGTTGCCATGCCCTCCTCCAGGCGATCTTCCCGGCCCAGGGATCAAACCCACATCTTTTATGTCTCCTGCATTAGCAGGCAGGTGCTTTACCACTAGTGCCACCTGGGAAGCCCCTAATCAGCTTTATCCTGGTACAAAATAAAAAGTTCAAAGAAATATTTGTTGACGGCCTACCACGGGGGAGCAATAGGGCCAGAATGATGGTGAGGCAAGCAAGGCATTTTCTCTGAGTACAAAATTTAAGGGGCACCAAAACAGCCCTCAAGATAATGTCCTTAATTAATTTATTTATTTCTGGCTGCGCTGAGTCTTTGTCGCTGCGCCCAGGCTTTCTCTGGTCGGGGCGAGCTGGGGCTGCTCTCCACTCACGGTGCACAGGCTTCTGGCGGCGGTTTCTCTCGTCACAGAGCGCAGCCTCTCGAGCTCGGGCTCAGCAGGCGTGGCCCGCGGGCTTAGCTGCCCCTTGACATGTGAAATCTTCCAGGGCCAGGGGTTGAACTTGTGTCCTCTGTGATGGCAGGCAGAGTCTCAACCACTGGACCATCAGGGAAGTCCTCCAAATAGCTTCTTGATGCAGTATTTTTTTCAAATTAAAATGAACGCCTCAAATCCATCATGAGCAAAATATCAAAACTGTGTACAGAGACAAGGCCACAAACAGTGCCACGCCCTGGAAGAGTTGGGGGTCGAAAAATATCAGCAACAGCACTGATCCTGTCTTTGTTTAAAATTCTAAGACTTTGCTTCTTGTATTAATTTTGATTTTTTAAAAATATTGCATTAAAACAGTTTATCTTAATGACTGAGATTGTATGCATCCACCACTTTTAAATTTTGCACCCCAGAGGGGACTTCCCTATTGGTCCAGTGGCTGACTCCAAGCTCCCAACGCAGGGGGCCTGAGTTCAATCTCTGGTCAGGGAACTAGATCCCACATGTCGCAACTAAAGACCCTATATGCCGAAACTAGGATTCAGCATAGCCAAGGAAATGTGTGTCTGCTCAGTCGTGTCCGACTCTCTGCGGCCCCATGGACTGTAGCCCACCAGGCTCCTCCGTCCTTGGGATTCTCCAGGCAAGAATACTGGAGTGAGTGGGGAGCCATTCCATGCTCCAGGGGATCTTCCCAACCCAGGGATCAAACCTGGGTACCCCGCATTGCAGGCAGATTCTTTATGGTCTGAGACACCAGGGAAGCCCCTGAAATTAAATATTAAAAAAAATTTTTGCTTCACCCTAGTCCTGGCTCTGCATGTAAAGTATGTTAAGTA